AAGAGACGGGAATATGTCCATTTCAAAAAACAGCCACTCGCTTCAGCCGAGTCCGACATCTTCGCTTTAGAATACGACTATACAGCCAACTGGCGTGAAATGACGTGCACCTGCACTGCAACAATGTTAAAGCAGCAGAGTTTACTTCTACGTTTAGAAGATAAATTATTGAAATTAAATAATGATATTCAGCAAGTTTAATTATTTTACAATGTAACACAAGTACATTGTAAGTAACTGTAATTAAAATACCTAAAAATGAACAGTAATTAGTTACTCTACTTTTTCAGTGGAAAAGTAATTTAATTACAATAATGCGTTACTGTCATAGCCAGGCGGATCAGCTGCACGCTGATCAGCACGCTCTGTTTCTCTCTCTCTTCCTCTCTCTCTCCTCTTCTCTCTCGCCGGGGCGGAACTCACTGTGGGTTCACGCCCTCAGGAGATGAGACACCTGGGTCTCATTAAGATGATCAGCATTTAAGCCAGGAGGTGACTGCTGTTCGTCGCTGGATCGTTGTCTACCACGCGTTAGTGAAGCCAAGCTACTGCAAGTTGAGTTAAGTGTGTTTCCTTTGTGCGTTGTATTTAACCCCGTCTCCCTGTCTACAAAGCTCCCTGGATTTTCCCCCCGTGTGATTCCCGAGTGGCAAGCGTTGGAGTGAGAGCCAGTGATCGTGTGTGTGGATGATCTGAAGAACGCGTACTTTTCCCCTGGACTTCCATTGAGCCCCTTTTCCCTCACACAGCAGTACATAGCACTCCCCCACCCCCCACCCCCCGCACCTTCTTGTATAAACACCTGGTGAATTGTAAATAAATCTTTCTTGTGTGCATCTGAGCCTGGAGTCCTGCGCTTGAGTCCTCCTCCAAACCATAACAACAATTTTGGCCACATTATGAATTTTGTCTTATATACTGCAATGTTTATATTTGAGCTATTTGTTATATTTTGAAACGTTGTAATATATTGTATTATTTAATTTAGCTAAGTTAGTTACTGTTCTTACTGTCTTGAAGCAAGTGTAACCGCATAATTTCCTCAGGGATTAATAAAGTATTCACCACATTGGTGGTGGTCAGAGGGCCCGGTGGCACCAGTGTCTGGCAGCCTCGCTTCTGTCAGTGCGCCCCAGGGCAGCTGTGGCTACAATGTAGCTTGCCATCACCAGTGTGTGTATGTGTGTGTGTGTGAATGGGTGGATGACTGAACATGTAAAGTGCTTTGGGGTCCTTAGGGACCAAGTAAAGCGCTATACAAATACAGGCCATTTTACAGTATTCTAATTCTGAAGCTGAACGATGCTACAGGCAGCATTACAATCTTCTCAGCATCACAGCTTCTCCAGACCCTTTCACATCTGTCACATGTGTTTAGGGTGAACGTGCACTCATCCGTGAAAAGCACAGGGCACCACTGGTGGAGCTGCCAATTCTGGTATTCTATGACAAATGCCAATATGGCTCATGGTACTAGTAGTGACACGAACCCTAGCTACATGCAAAACGTATATGTCCGAAAAGACATGGACAGAAAAATACGCCTGTGGCCCACACCTATAAAACCTGAGGATTGTCTCACTGTTGCCCCTCTAGTGAATCTAGTGATCTATCTAGTGATTTCATTAACACCAAAGCAGCTGAAAGTGATTAACAACCCCCTCTGGTACTTAACTGAGAAGAACAATAGAAGAAGTTTATGAAGTTTAAATGATATGATACTATACTATGATTAAGAAATTTTAGTAATTTTTTTTTAGCAGTGTATTTAGCCATGTTTTTTAAAAGAAATGTTATCAAAATCGGTTAAATTCTGCATCAGCACCCGGCAGTGCTTGAATTGGAATAACCCCACAAATAAGATCTTTAATTTCAGTTTAGGTTGCACCAATAGAGCACTTAATTGTGGTGTAATATACATATATATATTGCCTGTCCTGTCTGGAAGTGTAGCAGTCAGGGTTGTTGTCTGAAGGCCAAACTAAATGCCCAACAGATTTATTTTCCAAAGTCTACCATTACGGCTTTTGCTATACTGGTCCACTTGATACTCATATTTAATTAGATTTTTATTAGGTTTTTAACAATTATAAGTTATTACAATCAGAATGCAAAAGACCAGGGCACGGAAATAAAGAAAGAAAGAGAAGTTGGGGAGAAAGTAGGCAAAAGGAGAGGGAGAGAAAAACAGAGAAGAGAGAGAAAAAACACTGAAAATCTGCTTTACCACCTGCTGAAAAAAAAAACAAGCAAAAAACAACACAGCATGGAAACCACGGCAACAACCAACATATGCATAAATAGCGGTAAATAATAAATATTAAATGCTACTGAGCAGCACACAGTATTAATGATACATGACACATAATGTGTGTCTGTGAATACCTGTTTGTACACCTGTGTGAGCTGAGCCCCGGGCCAAATAGACCTGAGGGCTCCCCACCCCCAGCAACGGCCCAACAAAGCCAAGGGGGCCCGGCCCAGCCAAGCTGCTGTCGGGAATGATCCACTACGCATTTGAGCACCCAGTCCCAGAGAACCACCAATGCACCAGCGGGTGGGGGCACCAGCTGGACCCGCAGCAGTAGTGAAGCCCACCAGCCCAGACCCCGACCAGAGGGCCAGTTCCTCCTCCCAGCCCACTACCCCAGACGGCGAACAGAGAACGGGTTTTAAGATTTGTGCTTTGATTTAAGCAAGTTCTCCTTTGCGCTTTTCCAGTAAAATAGCTCGAAATCCTATTCTTGGTTATGCCCCCTGCCAAATGTGCAGCCATAGTAATTCCTCCTATTTAATGAAGTGCTTGTCATTTATTTCAGTTGGGAGTCTTTGAAATAGCTATAATAACCAGGTAAAGATGATCAACTTGAGATATGAAACTTAATAAAACTTAATTAAATTCTATCTCCTAATGTAATTCCCAGTTTTCTGTTTTTTTAAGTCAATTAATTTAATTAATTTAATTCAACTCCACTCAACAAATGAACGCACACAAATGATGCATTTTTTATAGTTTGGCTTTTTCTCATATAGATGACATCTGACAATTTCAATATTTACTATTTCTGCTCTATATCCCACTCTCAGTCTGAACTAGCATATGATGCATTTCCTGTATATTTAGTATAATCAGATTTAATTTAATTAAACTCTAAACAACTTGAAAAGAAAAAAATGACATTTTATTCACTTCTTTGCTGACGTTTGCTGCACTGCTGCAGGTTTTACTGGATAAAGATGAAAAACATTTACTCACTGGACCAGTGAACTTGCAGGAGGCAAAGTCACTGCAGCCACCATTTGGCTCTTCAGTACATCTGGAGAGCAGACAGAAAAACAGCCTGATGTCACGTCCCCAAAAGTAAACATCTCACGTTGATTTAATTAAGGCAACAAGAAAGCCAGAAAAAAAAAACGTATTTAAGACAAAGATGAAAGGCCACACTGACCTGTTAATGGGACTGCAGGAGTAGCCATCTCCCTGGTAATCACTTCGGCAGGTGCAGTTGACGACGAGTCCCGTCTGGTTGCAGTCCGCATTCACATGGCAGCCGCCGTTGTACTCGGAGCAAAGGTCTGGAGCTGCAGAGTGTTTTTAAGAAAACTGTCATCTGATTCATTATAAATGCTGGCTCAGTTTAGGGTAAGCATCAGCTCGCCACATGTGCAACATCTGGAGCCTGAAACAAATGTGAACTGTTTTGATGCTTTTCTACAGCAACCACATTATCAATGAGAACAGGAGTGCCACTGAGGAGAGAAAACAAATCTGATACTGAAAAACTAGAAGGATGAAAATATTTTAAGAAAAACAAACTGTCACAGAGCTCTTTCTTAAAATGCTTCAAAAACAGTTTGATTAATTCTGCCAGTCTGCTAATGTGCACAACAAGAACATTTACAGAAAGAATGACAGGTTACTGTAGTCAAAGAAAATAATAAGGGATGAAAACTATAAATGAAAAGGGACTATGGCAACAGTAGGGCCAAAAAAAATATATTTATGCTTTTAAAAAATTACTGAAACAATTGATTTTTTACAATCTTTGTTATTTTTATTAGAAGGGAGGCCAAAACCTGTTTGGGGTGGGGCGGGGCACACCACCATTTTCTTTTTTGTATGCTGGAAAACTCTGGATTGTAAGGTTAATCAAGTGTTGACCAGTATTGTAATGAATCACATGGACGCTTATCACTTGCACATGCTCAAATGTTGGACAAGCTAATTAAACTGATTTAATTAGACCCCCTGGTTCACTGCCAGGGAGGCTAATCTTCCTCTAATCTAAGGGCTGAACTGGGCTCCTGTACTGCAATGCCAGGGTTAATAAGTTACAAATCAGCCATCAAAGATTAACAGGTGAATATACTTTGTCTCTTCTCCACCAACACATTCCTGGTTCTGTTATCTTTTAATCAGAGATAAATTACTATCACCGGAGCCTTCAAAGTTAATTCATTGAAGCCATTTAAATGCACCAAGTATTTACTGTACCAGCTCAGAAGAGACGATCCAAGCACAGGACGCAGCAGGGTAACAGTTAAAAATCAAGATTATTGATCCAGACTGAGGTCAGCTAATTAAAGAAACAAAACACGAGAGGAACAAGGGGATACACAAAGAAGACACCTAGGACTAGAAGGAAACAAAACAATATATCAAGAATACTAACAGAAAGTTAGAACAGCTGACTGGGAAGAATTCAACACAATCTAATAGGAAATAAAGGGAAACTGGGGCATACATTTACAGAGGTGAGTAGCTGGTGTGCAAGAAAACTTGTGGGAACTAGAATCAAGGGTGGAAGTTAATAAAATAAAAAAAGAACTGTGGAATGGCTGCTGTTTATGTTGTATGACGCTGATGATGTCATGCTGTTTCGGGTTGTATTAGAAAAAGTAAAACATTGTCAGAGCGTAGCAGAAACAACAGTGGATGTGACACAACCACCAATCTCGACCGATCCCTGATAGGTTGATGAGTGGTTGTTAGGTGATCATATCCCTAATTTCCTTCGGGATTAATAAAGTATTCTGATTCTGATTTTGATATGCTGCACTTTTTGGTGTAGTATCTGATCATCCTTGTGATTTGAACACTGCAGTTACTCATAAATTACAACCAAGTGGTATTAAAACCTGAAAAATTCAATGAAATTCAGGTTTATTTACCTCAAGTACCTTGAGGCAACTGGCATCAACAGTTGCCTAAAGGGACTTTATGAGGTAAAGACCCTACAGTGTTCAGGAGAAAACCCTGACAATCGAACAATTATTAATTATTGGAACCACAGCTGGACCCGGATGATCAAAACTTACCAGAGCTTCCTCTTACTTCTGTGACTACAAAGCACTCTAATCTCTTCTCTTATTGCGTGACCACCATTAGGATGATGTGTGCTTTTAAACAATGGACAACACTCACGTGGCTCTGGAGTGCAGAAGGTGCCATTCCCCTGGAATCCCGGTTTACACAGACAACCAACACCTTGCACACAGTCAGCCTGAGCGTGGCACTGCCGGCACTCCTCTGGGATTGAGCCTAGAAAGGCAGACGGGGGATTTATCTCAGTAGAAGATAACAAGTCAAATCAAGTCAAGTCAAAGTTTATTTATATAGCACATTTAAAAGACTAGTGTACATCAAAGTGCTTCACAATAAAACCACAGTGCGGGCAGAACAAAGAACAAATAGTACAATTATACTTAAAATTGCATTTACATGGTGTAAGGCAGGCCGAATGAAAGTCAAACTAATTTGTTTCAAAAGCTAAGTTAAACAAGTGTGTTTTTAAACGGGATTTGAATGATTTAATTGATTCCGAAGTACGGATTTCGACTGGGAGATTATTCCAGAGTCTAGGGGCAGCGATGGCAAATGCACGCTCACCTCTGGTTTTTAAACGAGACCTTGGTTGTATTAGGAGCAGTTGGCTGGAGGATCTTAGTGCTCTCTTTGGGTTGTACGGATAGAGACGATCAGTTAAGTAGCTAGGGGCCAAGTTATTTAGAATTTTAAAAGTGAGCAGAAGGATTTTGAAATCAATGCAATATTTGACGGGAAGCCAGTGTAGGTTAGCGAGGACGGGGTGATGTGCTCATGCTTTCTAGTGCCGATTAAGAGGCGTGCTGCTGCATTTTGGACTATTGCAGGCACTGAAGGAGGGAAACTTGGAGGCCCAGGTAAAGAGAGTTACAATAATCCAATAAAGAGTGATGAAGGCATGGGTACGTTTTTCAAGTTCTTTATGTGGTAAATAGGGCTTAGCTAACAAGAGTAAACACAGCTTTAAGATAAAACTCACAGGTTTATTTAAGGAATGTTTTTGTGAGACCAACCTAGAAACTTTCAGAAAACAACAGCATTCAACATGGATCCAGAATCCTCATTTTGTTTGCATAGACCATTTGCACTTGGACTTCCACTGTCTCAAAGTGGTCTCTTAAATTTGAATTTCGTTAAGAGCAAGAGGACAAGGTCTCAGGGATCCAAATCCAAAGTAGATCTTAATCTGAGTGAAGACTGTGTTGCCATCATTTCCTGGCATGATGGCACAACATCACACTTCAGGTAGTTTGCAGCGAATGTTCTTCAGATGCCTCAGGTGTTACAGGAAAAAAAAGAAAACAAATGACACTCATATTCCTGCACTGGAAGCGAACTGCACCCAAATTTGAGGGGTTTTCTGTGTTCTCCAAAAGTTGATTCTGTTCATCTGGACGTAGCGTTTTCTGGGAGAAACGTTTCGT